TTGAAATATTGATGCATGATGAGCTCTAAAACTCTAGTTTTGTTAAAGTTGCAGGTTGCCTATACTCTGACTCTATGGCCTGCCTGTGCACTTACTTTTCCCATGGGCTGTGCTCCATATTAACAGGGAGCTATTTCAGACGGCTGGCTCTAACCTTCGCTCTAATGCGTATAAATGCTTCCATTTTTGTCAACGCAATGGATTTTGTTTGAGAAAGAAAAGATACACTGCTGTCTCATTACTTTGGTTCTACTATAAACATTTTCATGTTGGTTTCCAGGAGCCACCATTGTTACATATGTACAACCTACGACATTGGAATTTAAGAATATCATACATTTGGCTCACTCCTAAACAAGAGATCGGAGGCTCATCATCAAGCTCACTATATCTAGCAGTCAAACGATTCGGCGAACTAAAGTTGTCGATTTGATCTGTTTCTGCCTTCCCAACAAAAAGAAAACATGTTTAATGTTAACCCAATGCAGCAGACTGACGGCAAAAGAAGCATCTACGCCAGAAGCCAGAAGTTCTTGTGGGTCTTTGTGTTGAGAAGGTAGCCTCCATTTTGGCCCTTTTTCTGAACTCCAACACATGTGCAACTGCTTTTATCAATCAAATACTCTGCTGTGTCTATTGGTTTTGTCCCTCGCGTGGACCCTCCAGGCCTCCTGTATCTGTTAAGAGTACACAATACAAGAAAGAATAAGCAAATCATTCAAGCTGAAATCTGTTTTCCCACAATAAATCTCAGTAACATTATCAAGAACATCTTTGCTTAATTGGCGGTGAGCATTACCACCATATTAATAGCCGTTGAATGTGTTTAATTGTTGAGATTCGTGTAGCAGGTAGATTAAATCACATTTGTCCAAAGACAATTAACGTGATGGTAATGCTCAACACTAATTGAACTGAAAACAAAAAAGTTGGATATGGCACTCCAAACACACCCTAAGATTATAGTAGAAAGACTCCGCCGTTGCCCTATAACTAGGACATCGACCCCAAGAGCCTTGCTATGATCTAGAATAATGCTTGCTTTCTCTTTCCCTTCTATCAACGCCGCCTTCTCTACGCGCACGCGTACTTTGGGTTTTGCAAGTTTGCATGCATTCTTCATTTCTTCAAGAAAGTCGGCGTGCCCTAAGCTTCCTTCTATGGACGCGGCGGCAGAGCCTGAACTGCGGCTAGGTCTTCTAAGGAACGTCGTTAGTGTGTTTCGCCACGAGTTAGGGTTTTCGACATTGAAGAGGATCAACTCGTCGTTCTCAAGAATTTCTTTAGAAAGTGCATATTGTAGGGCACCTGCTGACTCTTGGGTTGGATCTGCTACCACCATTACTCTCCGTCTACATCCACCTTCCATGGCCCGCCGCTATCGCCACCACCATCAACCCCAACGACCAGCAAACCCCTTAGGGTTTTGCAATTAAGGGTAGGAAGTTTCTTGTTTATGCTTCTTATTAGGGGAGGCTGTTAGAACCATACTCGGGACCAGGTCAGTTGCCAGCAAAGATGTTTGAGGGAAACAGTTTCAAGTTGAGATTTCAGCTAAAAGTCTAACTCATAACCTTTTCTTCTTCCTTCCTTCCTTCCTTATTTTGTGTCAAACAGAATCATATACATTTGATAATCCTCGTTGTTCTTTTACTGTTCTTGGCAGACATTTAGATTTAATTAACGTAGTTCTCAATCTCAACAACTGAAAAAACGATTTTTTTTTTCATAATCAAGTTGAACAAATCCATTGTTTAGTGTTACAACTTGGAATATCTGTCACTTACTAAAAAAGAAAACTTGAAATATCTTTCACTTACTAAAAAAAGCCTTCAAACATCTGTCACAACTAACTCAAACAACAACAAACAACCACCACCAAACCGCCTAAAAAATGAAGAAAAAAAAATATTTATGGCCCGTTGATATATATATTTTTGTTTTATTCTTTTATTTTCATCAATTAATCAAAATGGGGAGAAGAAAGAGGAAGGTAAAAGAAAAAACAGAATATATAAAATTTAAATATAATATGTAATTTTTTTTTTTAAATTTAGATTTTATAATCTGTTCATTCTATATATTTTACCTCCTCTCTCTCTCTCCTGCACCTTTACATTTCTTTTCTAACATTTTTCCCCATTTTCCTTCAGGATTGTTATTTATAACTAAGAAAAGGGAAAAAGGAACCTTATGACCCGTTTGATAACCATTTCAATTTTAGTTTTTAGTTTTCATTTTTTGTGCTATAATATAGAGGAAAAAGAGGGAGAATGGAAAGTGAGATGGGAGGGAGAAGTAACAAAGATGAAAACAAAATTTAAAACCTAAAATCTATTTGAAATTGTTTTCACTTTTGTTACTCATCCCTCCCATCCTCCTCTCTCCAATCTCACCCTCACTTCCATTCTCCCTCTCATTTTCCCTATACTATAGCACAAAAAATGAAAACTAAAAACTAAAATTAAAATGATTATCAAATGGACCCTTAATTTTATACTTTGTTGTAAGAAGAATATTCATCTGTGAGTGTGACCAATGAATAATTTTAAGTTAAACTTTCCGAAGTGAAGAGTAGAAAGAACCTGCTTTAAGATGATGAGATATAGCCTACATCATCATCCACGCAGAGTTATGGTGGACTCTAATTAACGTTATTAGGAAGAAAATAACGAGCTTTAGGGTCGTCAAAGTGGGCGTGCCGGAGTGGTTATCGGGCATGACTAGAAATCATGTGGGCTCTGCCCGCGCAGGTTCGAATCCTGCCGCTCACGTTTTTCTCCTTTTTTTTTTAAAAAAAAAAAAACCTTACAAATATTCATATTAATCTATTAAAAAGACTAAAGTTTACTTTCACTTGAATCTATTAATAAGAATAATGGAGTTTACACAAATATTCATTGGGTGTGTCTAGGGTTTTTGAACCGTACTAGCGATAACTCTAGTCAATTAAGCACTCAAGATTAATCTCAACTTTAAAAAAAAAAAAAAATCAATTTACTACACGAATGGAGAGTGCTTTGGTTTGTCCTAATTTATATAGGATATATGAAACAATCTTGATTAGTTTTCCTAACTCAACCCGGATTGCTCAACTTTCAAAGTCCATTATATATACAAACTCTGCTTGCCTTCACTCTCTACAAAGCAAAACCCTTCTCTCTCCATCATCAAAACATTCATTCATAATTCTTTGATCAACACACAACGATGGCAAAACTGAAAGTATACCACCGTCGCCACAAAAAGAAAAGAAGATCACCAAACTGGTCTGAGCTCCAGCCCGAACTCTTACGGCTGATCACAAACAATCTCTCTTTCGTCAACGTCCTTCAATTCAAAGCCGTTTGTTCTTCGTGGAAACACGCTGCCACTTCGTCTCATACTCCATGGCTCATGCTCCCTAGTAGTAGCAGTCGAGAAAACGACCAAAACCACCCTGACAGTGCAGCTCGTTGCTTCTACAGTCTTGAAGAACAAAAGGTTTACACCATCAAGAACGCGTTTCAAGGCTTTGATCATGAGGCTCGGTGCGTGGGTTCATCGCATGGGTGGCTGGTCATTATGGACAGCAATGGAAACCCACATCTTTTAAACCCGTTTTCGCGACGTCAAATTCAGCTCCCGCTGATTTTGCCCTTTCCTCGCTTGACCGGTGATCTCTACTTGGAAAGTTTACGGATGTGTGTTAGTATTGCCAAGGCTGTCCTCTCCTCCGACCCGTCTCGCGACAACAACTTCGCTGTTGTGGTGATTTATGATTCTTTACCGTCAAAACTTTCATTTTGTAGGCATGGGGAGGAGGACAGCAGATGGACACTCTTAAATGTGCATAAAGAATATTGTGATGTTATTTTCCACAATGAGCAGTTGTTTGCATTGGCTGGGGATGGCTCTGTTGAAGTCTGGGACTTCAACAACTCCTTTCCTATCAAAACCATCGACCTTCGTCAACCATTTGCAGAAATTGGAAACGTGGATATAGTGAAAGACTTTTCAAGGGGCATACATTCTACTCAGACTTATTTGGTGGAGTCTTTGGGTGAGATTTTGTTTGTGGGGAGAATCATTGAGAACTTTGTTAAGCACGAGGACATTGGTGAGGGGGATCTTCCTCAGGAGAGTGATAATATCTGTCCCTATAGAACTCTGCACTTTTACATTCTCAAATTGAACATCACTGCCAACAAGTGGGAGAAAGTAGAATCACCGTTGCGCAATCGAGCTTTATTTTTGGGTGGAAATCAATCGATGTCAGTATCCACTCGGGATTTTCCAGAATTAGAAGAAAACTCAATTTACTTCACCGATGATCGTTGGGAGGAGATAAATTATGTGGAAGATTATGGTGGTCATGATGTTGGAGTTTACAACCTAGGAAATAAAATTGTGAAGACACTAATACTTGATCAGTTTAATAAGTGGAGAGTTGATCCACCACCCTTTTGGATTGTTCCTAATCCATGGTGAAAAGTAGATAGTTTTCACGTATGTATGAGCTTATGATATTTTCATGTACTAGTTTATAGTTAAATGCACATCAAGCTTTGTTTTAGCTGCCTTTTATGGTTGAAATCCTTGGGTTTCAACCCACTTTCGGTTTAATTTGAAAGTTTGTTGAAAAAGTTTAAACGAATGTAGCACAATTGGATACACAATAAGGTGAGCCCACTTTCAAGTGAACATTTAGACCATTTCTTTTCCATGAAGTTGTGCTTTTAGACAATCAAACCCACATGATTCATACTTAATTATAGAAACAAACTATATGGATCAGTTGGTTCTCTTCCACCTCAATCCATATGAGCAGAGGTTCAAAATCCCCAGGCACCCAATTAACCGTGATTCCATACTTCTTCATATGGGGCAGGTAAAATCTAAAAGCTGTTGCAAGTCAAAAAAAACGTTATTAATAGTGTAATCATGAATGGCGAGTGTTTTGGTTTGTCCAAATATATATAGGATATGACTCTGAAACAATTTTAATTGGTTTTCCTAACTCAACTTGGATTGCTCCACTTTTCAGTCCATTATATATACAAACTCTGCTTGCCTTCACTCTCTACAAAAGCAAAACCCTTCATCAAAACATGCATTCATAATTCATTGATCAACAACAATGATGGCAAACTGGTCTGAGCTCCAACCCGAACTCTTACAGCTGATCATGAACAATCTCTCTTTTGTCAACATCCTTCGATTCAGAGCCGTTTGTTCTTCGTGGAATCACGCTGCAAAATCTTGTGCCACTTCATCATGTCCTCCTCCTCGAACCCCTAGTACTCCATGGCTCATGCTCCCTAGTAGTAGTGAAGAAAACGACCAAAACAACCCTGCCAGTGGAGCTCGTTGCTTCTACAGTCTTGAAGAACAAAAAGTTTACACCATCAAGAGCTCGTTTCAAGACTTTGATCATGCTGCTGCTTGGTGCGTGGGTTCATCACACGGGTGGCTGGTCATTAACAGCAAAGCCAACTTGCATCTTTTAAACCCAATTTCACCACGTAAAATTCAGCTCCCGCTGATGTGTCATATTGCCAAGGCTGTCCTCTCCTCCGACCCGACTCGTGACAACAACTTCGCTGTTGTGGTGATTTATGATTTTTTACAGTCAAAACTTGCATTTTATAAGCATGGGGAGGACAGCAGAATCAGATGGACAGACTTAAATGGTGTGCATAGAGAATATTGTGATGTTATTTTTCACAGTGAGCAGTTGTTTGCATTGGCTGGGGATGGCTCGGTTGAAGTCTGGGAATTCAACAAGTCCTTTCCCATCAAAACCATTGATCTTCCTCAACCGTTTGCAGAGATTGAAAAGGCGGATATAATGCAAGACTTTTCCATTTACAAGTATTCTACTCAGAAGTATCTGGTGGAGTCATTGGGTGAGATTTTGTATGTGGGGAGAGTGATAGGGACCTTTATTAACCATGAGGGCATAGCCGTTGTTCAGGAGGATCTTCCTGAGGGGTTTGATGTTGTTTTTTCGTATAGAACTCTGCGGTTTTACATCCTCAAGTTGAACATCACTGCCAAAAAGTGCAAGAAAGTAGAATCATCCCTGCGCAATCGGGCTTTGTTTTTGGGCGGAAATCAATCGATGTCAGTGTCCACTAGGGATTTTCCAGAATTGGAAGAAAGTTCAATTTACTTCACAGATGATCGTTGGAGGGATATAAATTTCCAATTCGACTGTGATGGTCATGATAATGGAGTTTACAACATAGGAAATAAAGTTGTGAAGCCATTTGATCAGCTTGATAAGTGGAAAATGTATACACCACCCTTTTGGATTGTTCCTAATCCACGATGAGAGGCAGATAGGAGGACAGAATATGATCGTGTTATGTTTTCATGTACCACATTATAGTTAGAACATTTATTAGTGGTTGGATTTGTTCCATCTAAAGGTGAAACACTTCTTTCTTTTATGTAACTGATCTCATTTTACAAATTAAGTCAGAAAAGCCCAAGTTTTTTAATAGAATGTAGCAATTGGATACACAATAAGGTAAACCAACTCTCAGATTAAGACCAATGCTTTCACATGAAGACATTCTTTGAGAGTCTACTTGGTATGGTATCTAATCCACATGAATAGGCCACACATGATATTCATACCTAAAATAGAAATAAACTATGTAACATCACCATGTAAATTTCATTCTTGTTTGCCAATCCTATCCAAATCCAAACTTCCTATGATTTTTTAGACCACAATAATTGGATGCCTAGCATGAAAAGCATTAGCCAGCAAACTCAGCCAAAAAGCTCAACAAGCTAGAATGTGGTAAATTTGTCAATTAGTTACCCTTATGCCACCAATCAAGAATCTTATTACATAATGTATAAATGAATAGTTGAAGCATTAAAATTACTGGAAAATAGGCACAGTGACTAACAGAACATGGTATGCTTGCCCACCAAGCATAGCCATAGAGAAAGAAAATGAACTCCAAAACAAGAGCTTGAATTCTGGAAAATAATCTATATGTGGGATGGTGAGTTTACAAGTCAATATTTATTCATCCAATCCAACTTTCTAGCTTGTAGCGCAATCAAACAGCAACAGGATATATAAAACTAGAAGCCAATCATTTCTACACTCTCCAGAAACACTGATTGCATAATTCAGATAGGGCAAGTAATATCTCAAGCAGCTGCTGACTATTGGTTCAGAAGTAGCTGGCAAACTAAGACATCAAACTCAAGAGACGCTTACCATAGGCAAGATTAATTCATGCAACAAAATGTCACAACCCTTCCATTGTGAGTGATTTCATCTGACTAGAATAATGGAGGTTTGCCATTGGTGACCAGTCATCTTGTTACAAATAATATTTACATATTATATTTCCTTCAGATTTTATAATGGAATATGCACGAGACGCAACAGCATTAGCAGTTGTGTGCAACAGTGAAATACACAAACTGTTTGCGGATACCAACCTGCAGTTTTATCAGCTTTTGGCGTTCAATTTCTCTAAAAGAATCTTGTTTAGGAGCCCTGGATTTGCTTTTCCTTTTGATAGTTTCATTACCTGCATGAGGTTAAAATGCAAAACCATTTCACTGAAGTTTAAAAGACGTTATGTTATTAATAGCATAATCATGAATGGAAAAGGGAGCGTAGGGGGGATAAAAAAATATACCAGTTAAAGTTTGAAAGATTTTACCTGGCCAGCAAAATAACCTTGCAGCTTAGTTTTTCCACCACGATATTGTTCCAGCTGCTTGGGATTCTCGGACAACACCTTTTCTACCCATTTTTCAATCTCAGCAGGATCTACTATCTGTTACAACCAAAGAAATTAGAGAACCCTTAATTTATTGGTAAATTTCTGTATTTTTACCATCATAAGATGATGTTGTTTCATTTTGATTGGCTGCTAAAGTGAACTCTATATAATATCATCTAGCAAAACTACTATCTAATTGGACATTTATTAAGTAAAGAATTTAACAAAGTCAATCATCTATTTAAGGGGGGCAGGAAGTATTGTATTGTCTTTTTGAAAAGAAGGTTAGATTTCCATTATTACCATTGTAATAATTCTGTACATTGACTTTTAACTCAAACAAAGTATAGGGCATACTCAGAAAGAAAAAGTGCTCTTTTGACTTCTCAAACTATACAACATCTTGGGACATCTCAAAATAAGATACAAAACCATCAATTTTTAAAGGAGGAAATAATCTAGAATGTTACTTTAGGAACAGTCAATCAGATCAAGGTAGTGACCATCGCATATCTTGTTGAGATAATTGCAATAAAAGTTTAAATGCCCAGACAGACAAACTATTCGAAAGAATCACATCTACACATCTGAAAATTTGAAAATAATTATATCTTATTGAGTCTGGCAACAAACTGAACAACTTGCCTGAACTAAATCTTTTGCTTCTATCAGTCCCTTCACAGTACCACCCTTGGCTAGAAGCTCAAACAATATCTGCAAATTCTATTGATCTTAGAAACGAATAAAATTGTAAAACTAGTCCAGAAGAAGAAAAAACAAGAAGTACCTCTTTTCCTATCTTCCCACTAATGGTCCCATCTTTTATGGAAGCTATTAATTCAGCCAACTCTTGAGGAGTAAGCTTAATCTCATTGATGGTCAACTTTTCGTTTTTCATATAGGCAGCAATATCGCCCATTATCCAGTTGGTAGCTAGCTTCACATCAGCACCTTTTGTAATAGTGGTATCAAAAAACTCTGCAACCTAAGATAGACAGTAAACAATGAGCCCCTTTCAGGTCATTCAACATTATACCATCTAGGAAAACATCAACTAGTTGTACTTGAATATCAACACTAAGAACTTTAAGGAAACATTTATAGACGCTAAAAACTTCTGGATTACATCTCACAGTAAGAGACTGAGAGACACTGAAAAGACAGATGCCCATCCCATGAATGCCATATACAATATTCGCCTTGCAAGTAGACAAACACTCACTTTTCTTTTGTCCTTTCATTCTTTATTTCTTTGTGTGAAATGCAGTTTCAGTTACATGACCTTGGGAAGTTTATTTTACATTGAATATTTCTGTAACAAATATCTCTAGGGATAGGGAACTATCTGACAATGTTGTCTTATCCATATTTTCTTAGCCAATATGTCAAATCTACAAACAACAGTTGAAATCAGTCATAAATTTCAACTTTATGTTTTGTTCCTTTTCTTCCAAATTCCAGAACAATCGAGCAATTCCCAAACAGAGGTTTAGGGAGAGGACACTAAGACAGGCAGAGGACTTACGTTCATGTCATTTGCAAGGAAAAGAACATCCTGCATGCTCAGGCCCATCTTTTCATACCTCCGACGCTTCGTTTCTGGAAGTTCAGGCAAAGAATTACGAATACCATCAACATAGTCTGTAGTGAGGAAAACTCCCGGAAGGTCTGGTTCTGGGAAATATCGGTAATCGGCAAGTCCTTCTTTCTTCCTCATTGTAACTGTTTTCTGGTATAAAAAAGTAAACAGAACATGTAAATAGACACCAAGGGACCATGTAAGCCATATATATCCAGTTGTTCGACTAGACGATTAAGGTACAATCACCTGAGCTCCTTCTTCCCATAGACGAGTTTCCTGTACAATTTCTTTATCCTGGCCTTGACTATGAAGAAGCACCTGCCTTGAGATTTCATAATCAATTGCCCTACTAACAGATGAAAATGAGTTCAAATTTTTTATCTCCACCTGCCAATACGTATTATAGGAAGCATTAAATCAGTCTCAAAAAGTGATATATAAGTGTACTCTAGATACAATCATTACAGTTGACTGGTGAGGGGGTACATATGTGCTATAACAAATGGATTTCTTATTCCAATATATACAGAGGCTTAATATAACCAATTTTATAGTGCATTTCTTTGAATGCAGGAATACATGTTTCTATATCTCATTATGTAATTCAGGTGAGATCTTGGTCAAGTACAAAATGCTTTCTTTCTGAGAAAACGCCGACAAAAGCCAACGATAAAAATAACATTGTCTGAAAAATAACAATCTAATTTAACATGATATTGCAGTGGTTGTAACAAACATAATATTGCAATGATCATCACAAACATCAACAACTCCAACAACTAATAAATGACAATTTCACATGTAAGGATCATAGATTTATGTCATCCTTAGTTTTCTTTTTATTGCTTTCTTTTTTTATTTTCACAATTTTACTCACATCTAGTTATCCAGTGCTTTCCTTAATGACCCCTCAGGTCTTTGTTCTTTACTCTGTTTTAGAAGAATTTCTCTTTATACTCGATTTCTAGTTGCTAACAACACAATAAATGTGTAAGTAAATAAAAGTTACTTACCTTCGTCCCAAACTGTAATTGCCCAATTGGTCGAACAGAAACATTAACATCACAACGAAGTGAACCTTCTTGCATATTGCCATTACTCACTCCCAGATACCGAACCAACCTCTGTAACTCGGCAGCATATTCTGCAGCTTCAATACCATTTCTCATATCAGGTTCAGAAACAATCTCAAGCAAGGGCACCCCTGCTCTATTTAAATCAACCTGCAGAACAGAAACAAACAGTATCTAGGAGTCTAAGAAAGTGATAGAGAATTAACCTCAGCCGCTGATAATCTTTTATAACTTATGAGAAGTAAAATTTACTCACTCCACTCCATTGTAAATTCAATGTACTTACAAAACTGAATTTACACACAAATCATAAGACCATACTAAATCTAATTGAGCCTTTAAATAGTAAAACCAAAAATAGAAGAAACCATAAAACGGCACAGAGAACCAGAATGTAGTTCACTCTTTTATAACTTATAAGAAGTAGAACAATGTTGATGGTAAGCACAAAGAGAAAGGTACTTTCCTGCGAGTAACTTCCACCTTCTGAATGAAGCAGCTTCCCAGCATCCTCTTCCATGTGAACTCTTGTAATGCCAAACTTCCTATGCCCACCACCAAACTCTAGCGGAAGATCCAAGTCAATGTAACCACTGGTTGCAATTGGAACGTCAAACTGCGATATTTGGTATCCCTTCGGAAGGTCTGGGTAAAAGTATTGTTTCCTATCAAACTTTGAGTTCAATGACAATTTGCAATTGAGTGCAAGTCCCACTTTCACTGCAGAATCAATGACCTTCAAGTTCAAAACTGGTAAAGCTCCAGGCAGACCCATACAAATGGGGCAGACGCTGGTGTTTGGAGGAGAGCCATAATTATAAGGACAACTACAGAAGGCCTTGGTAAGAGTGTTGAGCTGGACATGGGTTTCAATACCTATGACTGCTTCATAGTCCTTTGAGGCTTTCTCGAGTGCTTTGCTCTGGGTACCATGTGGCGAAACTTTCACTTGTGGCTTAACCTTTTCTTGTGTTGCTGTCTGGGTTTGTGCGCTTCTCATTGTGCAATACAAAATGACATCTTTTCTTCTAATTAATGCAGTTGGATGAAACAAAAAAGGGTGGGAATGAAGGCTTCTAAAAATTGTGGAAGCCATCTTCTTAATCCAATAATGCAGGGGCTGTCTACGCAAGCATTAAGCAATGCACCGGTTAGTTGGAAAAAAAGAAATGGATTTTGAATCCAAATTGATTAAAACAGCTACAATTGAATATCAGGTGACATTTTCAGGCATAAATCCTAACTATATCATTCACCTGTTAAATTAAAACAGTATAATACTATCAAAGCACATCATAATCGAATTTAATCTCTCAATATACAAATAGAAGCACAAAACCCATTTCCTATTTCACCCAAAAGGCACCATTGCCAACTGAAACAAGTCGTCGAACAACAGATGGGCATCATCACAATTCTCCCACCCCAAAACACAACAAAAATGCAAAAGGGTATTCATTGGATTACATTACGTTACAAAAAGCACTGAACGAAATAAGAAAATCGAAAAAACTCACCTGTGTGTGTGCTTCCAGAAGTTAAGGTTCGCTGTTTCGGCTATGGAGGCAAAGCTGAAAAGAAGGTTGATGTTGCTCTCTTACACTCTGCTTAAGCTGGCGAGCAGGAGACTAGAGAAGAGAACCAAAGATAGGCTTAGCCTACCATGAGACATGAATGCAAAGCTTAAGCTATGGCAGTTAATTAAAAACAAAACTTTGGCTCTAAATCCAATAGCCGATAGATTTTCAATCCCTGGTAGTAACTGGACCTCAGAACCCCACAGATTTTCTATCTTGCGCATATTAAACAAAAATTGAAAATTGAGACCTTTGCCATCAGAAAAGTGAGCGTGCCGGAGTGGTTATCGGGCATGACTAGAAATCATGTGGGCTCTGCCCGCGCAGGTTCGAATCCTGCCGCTCACGTTTTTTTCTTTATATTAAATTTTGTTTGTTTGTTTTGTTTTTGCATGTCAAATTCCAATTATTAAGTGTAAAATTCCCATTTTTGTGGCTTTTTGGAAGAGAATATATCATTATCAACTTTTTCTCATACTATGCAGAAAAGTTGGGCATCTAAAACCTGAATAATATATACATACATAACGGACTTGCTCCAAGTATAATCTTGCAACTCACCTTAAATTAGTCATGCTCAAAAGTCAATTATGGTCCATCCAATTTTATTTTATTTTTAAATTTTGGCCTTAACCAAACTTTATATGTGTTTTAATCTAAACGAACGTTTTAGGCCAAACTCGGTTCATATTAGGGAAACTTTGTATTTAAGTTCGAAAAAAGATAGTTTTAAGTTTGTTGGCATTTCTCCTCTTCACGTTTTAAGAGCTCCCAAATCTAATTGTTGACAAAGGAAAAAAAAAAGGGTAATTTTATTTTTTTTACAAGCTATTGGAGGAAAAACTCAACCATTTGAGTTATGGATCCGTATTCTCTACTATGATTTTCTTTGTTATGATTAAATTTTAATGATGTGGCGTATGAAGAAAAAAATAAAGCAGATTAGTGAAGAGAAAATCAAAACGAAGCATCCGGATCCGTTGACTTGAGAGCAGAATTCAAGTGAAAGTGAAAGTGAAAGGTGTAAAAGACACATTTGGAGTCGTAGTTATGCCGGGGACGACGGGGTTGGGATCAGTCCTTCTTTGCTGCTAATTTATACCAAACTCACGGCTACAATAGCAAAATTATTACCGAAACAACCACAAGAAGAAGAAGAAAGCAATGGAGGGACAGCAATCATGGAGGCCAAGATTAACGTTCAGGAGCGCGACCATAATGATGTGTTTGCTGAACGTGATCACAGCTCTTCTATTGCTTCAGGGCTTTCTCTCCTCTGCTTCTTCTCGCTCCAAATTGTCCACCTCTCACCTCAATTCAGGTCTCTTTCTCTCTTTCTCTCGGTCTTATTTTTCGTTTATCGTGAAGGAGCTCTGATGTTTCTGCAAATGAAGAACAAGTTGTCACATGGGTATTCTGTATCTTTGCAAAGCATGCTGACCCATCATCTAAATTTCCTGACTTTTTAAAAAAAATTTGGGGGATTAGATTAATGACGAGTTGTGGGTTTTTCTTGCTGACCCATTATTTTCTTCTTGTTGTTGATTGGATTGGAGACCCATTTCGTTTGGGGTTGGGGAATTTGGAAGGTTAATGTGGGGTTTAATGGTATTATGATCCTGTTGCACAGCTTTATGATAGATAAGTGACTGGAACAAAAACTAGACATATGAAGATGCTAATGTTGTAAGGTTTAAGCATATGCTTTTAAATTAGGATTTTTAGGCTTAAAAGTTTTGTGATTGAGGGCTTCTATTTAATTCAAAATCAGAATTTATCATCTTTTCTAAATTAATTAGGAAGTCCTCCTTAGAATTGGGTTTTGGGATTTGAATATATTTGATTGAACCCTTAAATGTTAACTTTATGAGGTTTTCTTCCTAGTTTGGACTTGGACCAGCTTCAATTTCAAAAGTTAAATCAATAAGTAAAATATGATATTTGCTAGCTGATATTTCAAACCCATTAATTCTGTTACTTAAGTTCCATGTACTTAATATCCAAACCCCAAATGGAGATTATTGAACAGCCGTGAAATTTTATTGTGGAAATGAAATTCAGAACCACATAATCTCATTCCATTTTTAAGTTTTTCTTGGAGAAGAGTTAATACCCTGTTTAGATTAGTGAAACCTTGGATTTGTTTGCTATCTCTTGATTGGTTACCCTGAGATTAACTTTTGGTTAGAGAAATTTTGTAAATTACTCAAAATATATTTCATATGATGCATTTAGCTCTCATCTATAGTATTATCTTTAGCTTCATATTCATGTGCTTGTCTTGGCTTCCATGGATCATAAGTTCTTTAAATATACTTCAGTAGTCCCTTTCCCTAAACCTTCCAGATCCCTTAGCGTTCAACTACCTAATTCATCAAAAGCTCAACCTACGAACTTCCCCTTATCAAAAGAGGAGAGGTACCACTTGGCTAATAGGACCATATTACTTTACCATTCTATCATGCTGTGGGATTTGTCCACGTGGTTTTCACCAATCAAGTCTCGTAACTGGCTGGCAAAAGGACTCAATAGAGCTCAGCATTCAACTCAAAATCAATTAAGCTCTCTTGGATTCATACAACTGGAAGGCAGATAAGCTTTTGGACTCAAAATTAATATGGTCCTAGTTTAGGACTGACGTCTTACTCATTGCAGATTTTCTTTCTAAGTTTTTCTTAGCTTCTGTGACCCTAAGTTTAGGACTGGATGATCAGCAGAAGCTGAGAACATGTTTGGACAAGATTCATCTGACTATAAACGCATGGGATTTACCTTGATGGAAATAATGAGTTAATTCTAATGGAAAAATGGTCCAACGTGGGGATTGTTTAAGACATTTCTTCCATGAGGCATTACAATACCAGGACTGCAGTTTTCATTTAAGAAAACATGGTGATAGTTAAACTTTGATGCATTCATTCTAATAAGTTATATGTACTCGAATCATGAAATTGTGAAAGGTTTCTGTTCTTCATGTGGGATACTTCATATGCTTTATTATGATATATTCTTGACTTTAATTGGGTTCTTTAATCTTCCCTGTATATATGCATTACTTTATGAGCATTGAACATTCAGATTGACTGGAACAGACTGTTATACTTCCAACTGCAGCCACACTTAGATATGTTCGAGAATCTGAAGAAATTCGTCATGCTATGAGACCCTTGGAACTGATAAAAAGAGTAAGTATGGCATCAGTGTTATAATTGCTATTCACTAATTATAATTCTAGTGAAAAATTCCTTCTATTGCTAGTTTAAATAAAGTGGTGAGTGCCCCATGTAAAAGCCGAACCCATATCGTTTTAAACTGCTTGCTTCTCTGATTTGAATGTGCACTTTCCATTTTGAGTTATTTGTAACTTTTTACTTTTGGAATTTTTCGATAGTTAACCTTGTAAAAGTTCATGGTTGGGGTACAATTTGATTTTCATTAAATTTTCTTCCCTCTTCAGGTGAAGGAAATCCAACAAGAAGCATATGCAAAACCAGAAACAGTTCAAGAGAAAGACACAAAGCAAACCGTTGCAGGTGACCTTTCTAAAAGATTGAAAGATATGCGTTCTGTTAATGATGCTACCAGCTTCAAAGGTGAAAATCTGTCATTTTTCCTCTACATATCTGCTTTTTTTGTCAAACAGCTGTTTTTCCTGTTTGGGGTCATATAATGACTCTTCCTGCTGGAAGCTGTATTCTAGTACTAGCCTTTAGAGCATTTGTGTTTCCAGCTCATGCTTTAAATTGGATATGTGCATTCTCTATCCCTGTGTCTGCATTATAAGCATCTCAGTCTCTCTGAGAACCCAAAACAGAAATGTTTTTGGGTGAATTATATCTTTATCAGGAGATTTATGAAATGGAACTCTCTGGTTACGGAATCTCTCATAATACTCACCTTTCCATGGTGGTATTTTTTTGATGTGATATTGCATATTCCTCTCTACGTAAAAACAATTGATGATATTGTGAACCGTTCTGAATCTGACCTTAGATGTGTCTATCATGTGTTTGTCTAGAAGCATGCTGCCTGCTACCTGTGCGACTGTGTCAGTTACTTGTTCTTCATGAAATCAGATAATTGCTCGCATTTTAAGTTAGATGTTAACCATAATCTTTCAGAGCACTCATCAAACATTCTTCACTCAATTGATGCTAGAGAAGATGGATTCATCATTTCTTGTTTCTTGTGTGAATTTAAGTAGCCTACAAAATGAATGTGGAGTTTCATGAAAATTTTCGTCAAATTATTTTTCCAACTTCTAGTATTAGTACATGCAAGAAAGATACATTTAGCCTTTTTATGCATTTGCTTCCCATATTTTCACTAGCTGTGACCTCTATTTGAGGTCCGGAAATAGCAAGGTTTTGAGTTCCTATTACTTGTTTAGATGCTATTTTTTTGTATTTATTATGAACTAGATTTTAGCAATTTGCATAATGTCCTGCAGCCTTGGAAGAGTGGCGTAAAAGGAAGATGGAGAGAGCAAGACTACGTGAACTAGAAAAAAATGGAACACTCGCATCTCAAGCATGAGCCATGTCCTTCACAAATTATTGCTCACATTATACCAGAATTTGGAGACCGAGTTGTCTGCAAATGTGTATATTACAACTTTGATTATATATTTTTAAAAAAGTTTTATATATGACCACACAAAATCTTACCAAAAGAAAAATTGTACTTGCAATCATAGCCATTCTTATGCGGATGCAGTACTCAAAAGCTCTCTGCATAATATACGAATATGTAATATGTTCCTTGGCCTGTCTCAGTTGGAGTAATGTTAAAGTTAATGCCTTGTTTATTTGCTGTTGGGTAACTTGCTTTTCTCACCCTTTTAGTTTATCGTTTTGCTTATATCATTGTTTTCCTTTAAGTAGGAAACAATCAAAGTTAGTTTCAGCACCTTTCTCTCTAGACTGGTCGCTTTGTCTAACATCAATATTCATCAGGTCTTAGGTTTAACTCACATTGCTATTACTTTTCTATTGAAATGTAAAATTGGATTATTAATTTAAAGCTTTTTATCACAAATGGTCCTTGAGGTGTGCAAAATTATCGCTTTTCATCCTTGAGGTTTTTATGTGACACTAATGGTCCTTAAGGTTACCCTTCACGCATCAAATTGCTCACTGCCGTTCTGTGAGGTTTATCTTTTATGACATGGGGCAAACCTACTTCAACTTCATAGTTGACAAGCTTTCACCTGCCGGAAAGTGCAAGATGAGACTCCAAATGAAACGTATGTCTTGTTCATGGAAGCAGCAAGTTCCATAGTCATATAAAAGTTTTTAAACAAATGATCCCTCAGCATGGAAGTTTTAGGCACCACTATGGCCCAGAATTTGCTCACATGCCAGTTATATTCAAGTAGAGATCATTCAGGAGTGCGGTAGTTTATCCTTGATTTTAAGTTACCTGAAACCCTTACTCAATCATCATCCACTACAAATGAATTATCCAAGGCACCAAACAAATGGACTCTATTCAAACATATGTGGAAGCACTAATTATACAATTCCTGTACAAACTTTTGCCATTTGGATCATTATATATACAAAGCTACAAGTACAGAAGATTACTACAGTTGTGCTTACAAGCTTAACAAACCTAATGGCAACTACCATCAGTTGCAGACTGCAACTTGCAGTGGAATTGCACGTATGAAGCTTAGTCCAGGAAACAGAAAAATGCCTAAAATGTCAGAGCAAATCATCACAGCAGCATTTGTGGCTCGGTCAGCGAGTTCTCAATTCCAGTTCATTTTCCCGTTTCTTTTCTTTTTTCTACACCTCGTGACTTCAATTTGACATGTACATGAGCCAAGTCAATGCTTTTGGATAATCTGATAGCAAAATTTACATTTTCAGCATCTACTTTTGAGGAAAAATTCATGGACTACAGAATTCAGAAGCCATCTAAGAAAACTACAGAGCTATGTAGTCCGAATGCCATCTGCAAAATAAGATAACAAAATTAGTGAGCTAGAATGATTATTGGTTATCTAATATTATAAATGCAATTGCAACAATAACCAAACATATCCAATCATAGTCTGATAACCACAGTTTCACAATCTTTTTCCATGTACACACCTACATACAATGAAACAGAAAATAATATTGACCAGATGACCTACTAATGGCTTCATATCACAACAGTGAAAGGCTGATTAAGCTTTCAAGTCTGCGCTATGTATCATAAACAGAAATCTAATGAACTGAATTACGATTATAAAGAACAGGGAACTAATAACTGGACAATAGAATATTTATTGCATCGTACTTTTGGCCAGTGAGAATTGCCTTTCCATTTGCAAAGTTTTGGTCGAAATTATATAAAGCAAATAATATACAACTGCAGATATAAACAATAGAGAAGGCTCATACTCCCCCTGGGGAAGCAAGCTGCTTCTTTTATTCAATTAACTTTAAAACTTCCCTTTTCTAAATGCAAAGATTTTCATTACTCTAAATGCAAATATTTTCATGACTCGCTCGTTTTAGCTATAGTTAATGAACCAACTTAAAATTTTAATAGAAATATACACCTGGAACAAGTTATGTGTGTGCGCACTCACGTGTGGCGTGTGTGTGTTCACATGTGCAGGCAAGTGCATGAAACAGGTTTGTGGTAATACAGCCTGGCAGAGCTTGAATACATTGGGCACTTTCTGCAAAGTGGCCAACTGAATGTTATCTTAAAATGCATTTTGAATCTTCACTTGCAGAAGTAAAACGAATTTCTAGCTTTACAAACCTAAAAAATGAATTGGTTTTAAAGAAAATAAAGGAAAGAAATACACCTTTAATAAACAACATGAATTTCAAATTGAAAATAAATTATTGCTTATTCTAGTCAATTTGCAATGAACTTTTACAGAATTTAATTTTAATAGTAGCGACTTTGTCACACAGAAACATGATTCCAACATGGATTCCTTATTTTCTACCATACCTGAAAGATAAAAAACAAGCCTTTTAAAAAAGGTTTTAATATTTTGGTTAAGCAATTAAGATGACAAGATGTTGTCTGAAGCTACAGAGTCAGTGCAGAGAACAAACGTGTTTTTTTATCTAGTTGATATGATAAGGGCAAGAAATAGAGAACAAATGTGTTTTCACTTTCATGTACAGAGAAGCTACCAAGAATTTCAATGACGAAAGAATTATATGTTCAACTAGTATATGATGAAAGAAAACCTACCAATTTTGTCTCTGCAAAATATTACACAAATCAGAAATCATTAGTCATTTGATTATCATAGTCATCATTTCAATCTTATCGGAAACATTGTGCTCGTTAACTTATTTGATCATACTTTGATGACTAAAATGGTTTCCTATTTGCCAAACTTTTTCCAAGGATGATCCATTGAACAAATATTGTAAGAAATAGACGGTTTGAATCATTAAACATTAATTGCAGAGTCACCCAAACAAAGGAAGTCCACATGTTTCTTAAAATGTGGACGCCTTTTTAAAGAAGTTCCTTTTATATATAAACACATAGATTAAATTAGCATATAGCATTCATGAAAGAAACTGAATACTAATTGGTCCATTCGTAGCTGCCAAAAATATTTGCCAAAGATTCTCACAAGTTATTTTTTGGGCGTATCCTTTCCCAAATCAACATACACGATAGTAAGTTGACATTTAGTTGTAGCCCTAGCATTTATTTTGTACAACTTAAGTAAATAACCTCCAAACACCCCATACACACAACAACTAGGCTGTAGGTACAAAACAGGTCCTGCAAAAAACTTTGCGTATTTGCCTTGCAGTTTTTTCTTTAAAACACAAGAACTAGTTCCATAGGTAAAACTTACTTTGTTATCTACTCATAATCTAATGCTTCTAATACTTTTAATCTATTTACTTTGGTGATTAATGAATGCGTCAGTTGAAGTGAAATCAGGGTACTACTGTATGTCTTTACATTACTTTCCCATCAATCAATTCCAGGAATTTTTCCTAGGGAAAAAATATAAAATTGGGGTGTCTCATGTTTACTGCAGTAACTCAAATTATTGCCCTTTATTAGAGTCAACCACACTCCATAGGTAGACCACTACATTTTCGCTTCATCTGACTTTCACGTATCTATTCCACACAAATCTCTTTAACGTTCCCTGTACTAAAGTCCCCTTCAAGAAATACTAGAAACACTAAACAAATCAAATAGCATCTTTCTCCTAGTCGCTGGATAATAGATTAAAAGTATGTGCGACAAGGCTAGACATTAGGCCTCACTTTGGGCTTCAGTTTCATCTGCATTTAGAGGCTACCCGTTCTTTCTCCTTTAAAGGGATTGGGAATTGCAGTGTCTTATTTTGGTAGAAGTTTGGTAGGTCCTGTTATCTTTGTTGGGTTGGGTGGGTTGGCGGTTATTGTGATATAAGTTTCTCTTTATGGTAGGTAAAGGGTCATATATTTTGTGGACTTTGATTGTACTTCCCTTTCATCAATAGTAAGTATTAATTTTTCTATAATTTTTTTTTTTAAAATAAAATAAAATAAAGAGATCACAATTACGTAGTTGTAGCTTTTGCCAACAAAAGCATCGTCTTTAAAGGTTACTCCTATAACTGCTTCAAATAACAACTATTCCTATAACTGGCAGATCTCAAATACAAACACGTACTGTTTCAGAACCCAAAGGTGCAATTACGATGCATGCTCTATATTGTTCTAGCTGCGCTCATTAGCAATATAATGGCATGCAGACTCAAAGGATGACTCCACTTACAAGCAATGGGGCATATGACTCTATGACGAAATCGCTCCTGCTAGAAGCACTAAATATTTATACCCCTAACAAGGAAAAAAAATCTAAAAATAGCATCACTGTTATTTCGTATTGAAAAAAAATATATAATTTAGGGGTTGGATTTTTGTTTTAATGTGTTTGAACATACAACAGGGAGTATCATTTTTCAGGACTGAAAAGCAAATACTTTCGTTGTAGAATGAGAAATCATGTAGGAAGTTCAAATTTAAAATTGTATAAGTGTAACCAAAAAAATTCATCGATAAGATTTTATTTATTGGGAACTGGCTACTATGCTCCACTATAAAAAATCTTTCAATCTTCCCCTGCTAACATAAACATACAACGCCAGAATAGCTATGCTCCACTATAAAAAATCTTTCAATCTTCCCCTGCTAACATAAACATACAACCCCAGAATAGCGAAAACTAACACAGGCCCGCCCCTGCACAATGTTAAGAAATCATTATATGTAAATTCAACAAAAGTTCTAGCTGAAACTTGTTGACGTAGAGCAATATTGGGAGAAAGGGTTGGGAGATGGGTTAGGATTAGGCTAGGTCAAGGGGTCAAATCCCTTTCCATTGCAAGAGGTATTGAATTTTTTTTTTCTTAGGGGTCATGAACAGAAATGGAAAATTTCTGGATACTCGGTGTCATATTGCAGGAGTCAAACTAATTGTGAGGTGACAAACTATTCTAATTGCTGATTTTAAACAGCATTCATGTCCCCTTTTACTCCTTATTACTTTTATTTTCTCGCTGCAGGTGACTATGATATCCTCTATATCTCATAGCAAATAACTAGATTAACAACAGCAATCCAAACACCTATTTCTAATGCAACAAATTTAAAAGTACTACTCCAGACACATACAAGACACAACCATGAAACAGATAAAGAGATTGAGCAACTTTTGTCCCTCAATCATTTATCTTTAGATGAACATACGATCTTAGAAAATTATAAAACTTAACAACAAAATTCCATGATTATAATTTGTAGGCAGTATCATGGCCCATGATAGTACCTACAATGGAAATGAATGAAACAGTCTTGATCCAAAGAGGCACAAATGGAAAAGGTGAATCCTAAGTACATAGATTAGCATGACTAGCTACTATCTGTAACAAGACAAATCACCTCCATCACAGAGAATCTTAAAGGCCCCTTCCTCCGGATATGCTTCACCATATGATTACTAGAGTACATCATTGCACAAGGAATCACACACCTAGCAGGCTATAAATAGGTGCTAAGGTGGCATTGAAGTTTGAACTAGAGCTACAGAAAATCACAGGAAAAGAGAAACTCACTGCTTAAGATTCTCAGCAATTAGAAGGGAAACAAGGCCAGCTGATCTGATGCAACACAAAACCAAAATAAATAAATAATTTGCCTGAGAAAGAATTTGGATTTACCTCAGTATCTCATATTCCGGTAACTGTTTGCATGATCCAAAAAGCATCACGCCATCAAAATTATTTAGTTACAGATAGCAAGTTTCCCCGTCCATTCATCAGCCACCCCATAGTCAAGGCTCAGCTCTCTCATGGGAGGGATGTTCTCCATTGCAAATAGCATAATATGAGGAAACATTAGATTATTGTGATCATACAGTATAAATTGCACCAGCACATTTGGAGTGGAACTGTGGCTCATGTAACAAGCAACATTTCTCATTTTCGATACATCCATTGCAAAATCCAATGGTGGGATTGAAGGATAAGATGGACGTACATAATCAGGATATATCTGAGATAAATCTCCCCACTCTGTCCATCTATCAGAAAACCGGTGTGGATAAACCAAGCTATCACCATTCATTGCAAAAACTTGAGCCATTTCTCTAGTGAGAATAACCCCTGTATACTCACATATAAAGGCACCAGCATGTATCAAGTCCAAGGACCTAACTCCCCAACCTGTTTCCCTTGATCTAAACACTTCCAGTCTATTTCTCAACCCTTTTTGTGTGACACGATTCTGACAGCGTGGGGGGCAACGGCAGAAGGTCCCACATTCAAAAACCACAGGCTTGCCTCTTAATAGAAACCCATTCTGATCATAAGCAAACTCGCCTCCATTTTTCATAGCACAAAAGCAATTACCAGAACAACCGTCAACACAATCGCACCCAGTCCCCTGCCCGGACTGATGAAATACTTGCGTTGGAAACACAGTTGTCACAAGATAATCATAGTACAAGGGATCCTGGTCAGAATCAATGTCATTGAAAAGGAAAACTGGAACTTTCTCCTTCTTATTAGAGATATCCAAACTAAGATAACCCGACTGCCTCACAGACAAGGGCCTAGTCCTAAGACTCTCGGCAAACTTAAGGACGGCGCTACCCATCTCTCCTTGCCCTTCCATTCTCAAAATCTTATACTTATAAACACCAAAGCCAGACTTGCCCACATCAAACCAACAATCAAAAATTCTATACAAGCCATCATAGACATAAAGCTTACTTGAAACACTGCCTTGACATTTGATCCCTCTGATAACTCTCACTTCAATCCCATAATGCATGCTTCTCTCCAATGCCAAATTCCCACCTTCCAGCTTCTGATGAGCACATTGCCTATTAAACTTGTCCTGCCCTCCATGACCAGTGTAGATAATCACATCACCCGCATCCTCATCATCTTCATAGCCACCCGAAACGATAATGCTGGTTGCAATTGGCTCGTGGTTCGAGCTCTGGCTCGCCGGAAGATAGTCAATCCCAGCTTGGACTTGGCCATGTAATCCAACCACACACAACTCCATCCGAAAAAAGAAGATATCGCCAACATAGACCCCAGGAATCGAACCAACGATCCTTTTGTCGCGATTGAGCCACAACCCACGATCCCTGAGCACCGAAGCGGCTCGCAAATCGCCTCGGGCTCGTCTCCCGAGCCCCGGGGCCCTCTTCTCCTCTTCCGCCACTGACAGAATGCGAATCGAATCGTATAGCATTCGGGTTTTTCGCACTACGTCTCGGAAGTAGCGCTGGTCCTCGACGTTGAGATCGGTGACCCGGACGAGCTCAGAGGACCGCTGGGGGTATTTTCTTCGCGCAACGACAACCTCTTGGAGCTGTTGTTCTTGAGAAACTGGGACAATTGCTCGCGAATCCGGGTCCAAAACGTCGACGTCACCGAAACGCTGGAGCCCTTTTGCAAAAGCTGTTCGAAAAAGCTCGGAAATCCGATGGAACTCCGAGTACACATTGTCTTGGTCTGAGGGTACGGTGGAGGATTCAGATAGAGGGGTGTGGTTGGGGTCGGAGAAAGGGGTCAATTGGGAATTAGCGAAAGAGTTGGGGGTAGGAGTGGGAACGAAGGGTTCTTGGGGTAGTTGGGGCAGTTGGGTATCGAGTGGCTCGTCGAAAGGTTCGAGCTTGGGTTCGATTTTTGGGACTTTCATGGCGATGGTGGTGGTGTTGGTTGGGGTTGAGCCTGCGGTTGATTCTGGGAGGTTATTGAGGTCAAGAATTGGGATGAGAGAGCCCATTTTTTCAAGAGAAATGAAATGGGTTTGAGTGGGAAGACAGTGTGGTTGTGGAGGTTGAGCATGGAAGGTTGCGGTTGTGGTTGTGGGTGGGCTTTTGTTAGGGTTCTGCCGAGAAATTTGAAGGAGGTACTTTCATGGCGGATTTTGAAATGTAAAAATGACAAAGGGAGTCAATTTTTGGCGTCCAATTTTCCCAGCAAATTAGATTAAAATTGAATGAAACTGACTTTCTTGGACAGAATTGCCCCTCTGTCCCTAAGATAAAGAGTATAAAATATACGTGAGCATTGGATGCTTAGGACAGCAAATATCAATTGACGATTGATGTATTACAACACCCATTTGGGTCCCACTTTAATTTTTCATCCAGAACTATCCACGCATGTTATGCTTGTGAGGGGAGTTATCGCAATTCAAAAATTACCATATATGAGTGGCTTGTTTGGCAGTACCTCTAGAATGGTTAAAAAAGATTTCTAACAATCAAAAGCGATCTTGGCAGCGTTTGGTTGAAAAATTTGAAAGTGCTTATAGGTCATAGAAGCATTTTCTGGAGAAGAACATGTTATGTGCTTTTCCATGAAGCAAGCACTCCCTTTCTTACCATAATTTCAAGGTTTTTATAATAAAAGCGAATTTTCTAAAAGTGCTTACGAACATAAGTGTTTTTTAGATAAGCAATCTCAAATGAGCCGCAGTATTGGAATAATAGTGGTTGTAGGAAATAGAAAATTTGTTGCAAAAATGTGTTGATAAACAAAAGCATCTTTATGATAAAAATCTTGAATTTTCATATAATAAAAAAACGAAGTGCATTATAGAAAATTTGTTGCAAAAACGTATTGATAAACAAAAGTACTTTTATGATAAAAAGCTTGAATTTTCATTATAAAAAAATCCAACTACTTCCTGGAAAGCACTTGGGAGTGCTTTTTGAAGAAGCACATAACATCATAAAGCGCTTCTAAACTTTCCTTCCAAACACTGTCAAAAATGTTTTTAGTCAGAAAGTGCTTTTAGCCCTTCTAGAAGTACTCCCAAACAAGCCCTTATTATCATGAACTTAAATTTTATTATTAAAGGCAGAGATAATACCACAAAATATCATTAGTTTATGGACTTATTAACAAATGAAATTATTCATTATATAAGGATAATATAGTAAATTATCAATATTTCATTTAATGAAATTATTCATTAAATGAGAATAATATAGTAAATTAACCGTTTTTATATTAAAAGAAATTAATGAGATCTTGGATCCTATTTTCATGCAATACAACTAGACTCATTTTGTCTTCCCTAATGTTAAAATAGAAAAAAAAATATATATATATATATAAAGCAAGTTTGGCTGGAACTTTCTTTTCAAGGTGAATTGGTGGTGGTAAAACTTTTCTTGGAAGTGGAGTTAGCCCAATTTTTTCCTTTTATCTTTTGAAGAATTTCTGTGCCAAGTTTTTTGAATTTAAAATTATGTCTAAACTAAGAGAAGTGAAAATATGAAGACCAATGAAGGTTGGTCAGAGTGGAAGGGGCTCTGGTCGCTTAAGCAAGTGGTCTCGGGTTCGAGTCCTTGTGGATGCAGAAAACTTTCTTGGGAGAGGTCCCCGCATATGCGCTCGACAGTACCTCGGAGGATTAGGCCTGAGCTATGCCTGGGGATACCTTGAGAAACCAAGAAATTATTAATTAAATTAGGATAATATGGTAAATTCACACTTTTTCATATTAAAAAAAAGTTTATATATATCCAAATTCCTATTGAGGAGTTGGGTTTAATCCTCAGATTTAGTGACCTTGATCCAAGTCCTTTGACTTTTGTGCCACATATAATTATATTTCTTTTTTAAAATTTTATGATGTAATATTTTTATTATTTTATTTTTAAAATCATTTTTTGTTCTAATGTTGCCTCTTATGACCTGAATCGGGTAATAGTCATTTATGTCATATTGCCTATTGCCTATTGCCTATTGCATAGGTATATATATATGTTTTTTTTTTTCATATTTTCGACAATGTGTAATCATATTTTATGTACCTATTTTTTTAATAGGTAACATACAATTTTATTTTGTCTATTTTTGTATCTAACTTATAGGTAGTGTTTTAATTTATGTTCCTAACTTATAGGTAACATGATTTATCACTAAGTATTTTTCGTTGCTAATAATCACACTATTTACCTTTTTTTTACTTATGCTTGTCTGATCGATTGGTATAAGATGTGGGCCTTTACTTTTTATTGATTAAATTGAATTTTATCCATATATTAGGAATATTATCAAGGAAAGAATTCAAAATTTAAATTCTATAATTCAATTACAAGGAAATAATGCATTGAATTTAGATTTTCAATGTGTTTTCCGTATTTACCTCAAATGGTAAAATCGACACAACAAAACAAGTAATAAATGTCAAAGGACCTACATCTAAAACAAAAAACGCTAGGACTAAACCCAATGACAGCTAATCATTTTGGACATAGATCCAAGAAACCCTTAAAATTAAAAGAAAAATCAAATAATGGATCCTATTTTTATGGAACACAATGACCCATTATCTTTTTTAATTCTAAAATAAATTTAAAAGTTTTTTAAAAAAGCCTCTCACATGCGCGTGTAGAGAGGCTAGTGTATATATATAGAAGAAACAAGAACAACAAAAAAACTAATGGTAGCCAATTATAATGAGGTTTAGCCCAGTGAAAAATGGTCTCAAGTTTGAACCAACATTGTCATTATGTGTGTGTGAGAGAGAAATTCCCCTCCCTTTTACCACTATATGAATGTAGTTTAGCCTCAATTTTTACAAATTCACTTTCTTTCTCCCCCCATTCTATAATAACATGAAGATAAAATATAAGTACCACCTTGTTCAAAAAAGACATTTAGATCCATAAATAACTAGAATGATGCACATGTGATGCATGCACGTATCATAAGTTAAAAGTGTGAAAAAAAAAGAAAGTGAGATATGTGAAATGAGTGGATTGGTTGAAAAAGTAAAATGAGAGTAAAAATTGGAACCAATAAAGTGAGATTCTACCTCTATCAAACAAAAAAGTGAGATTCTACACAATTACCATTCTACCCATAATTATTATGCTTCGTTTGGTGGCTCAATTTAGGCTGGATGGTAATAGAATCCAAGCCAGCTCTTATGAATCACACCCCTCTAGATGAGACTTCCAAAACACAATATGTGGAGTATTTTTCAGTTTAATAAATTTAATCCTAATATTTATAAATTCACCATACATTGGCCATGACGTTAATCCAATTTAATTGACCCCGAAGAATAAATGGCATATTTGACTTTTTTTTTTATATACAAGCAATATTAGGGGATGGGGGAATCGAACATAGGAACTCATAGGCATATGAAAATGCTCTTAACCACTTTAGCTACAAGCCTCTTACGTATATGTGAAATTTTTTATTGGGATAGATAAGATAATTATCTTTAATATAATATAGATTAAAAAAACAATGTACCCAATTTGAATTTAGCTTGTATTTTATTTATAAATTAAATTGGATTCACTCTAATTATGTCTATACAATTAAACTTAGCTACACCGAGAACAGAAAATACAATAACTAATTAACTCTTCGTCTAATTATATGTCGCGTTTCAATGTTGGAAAATGTCTCAAGTTTTGAATACCTCATTTTTCATGGATCAAAAAATAAAATAAAAAGCATGGTGTCTCTAAGTTTTGTAGAGGAGGCAGAGAGAGTAAAGATTTTTTCTTTTCATTAATTCTTTAATGAGTAAGAGCATCTACAATAGGCCCCTTAAACCAATTCATTAGACAAATTTTATGGAGGAATTGAAAAAACACAACTGCAATCATGCTCCCAATCCACCTCCTAAAATAGGGAGACCTCTAGGAGCTCTTAAATCCGAGAAGAGAGAAACGACTCCTAGTGACTCCCTAAAATTTAATATTGCATTATTTTAATACTATTTCAAACATTTATTTAATGCTGAGTATTTTTTGTTATTATATTTTTTTTGTCTACACTCTATTCCAAAAATGAATTGAAAAAGAATTAAAGCATTTATGACTCCCTAAACTAAGGAGTATTGTTGGAATTGATATTTTATTGAGAGCTCATAAAATAGCTTTCTAGTGTTTTTAGCTATATTTCAATTAAAAATAGGGAGCATGATTGTAGATGCTCTAATATCAGTTTATAAACTTCATAGAAAAAGTAGACTAACCAAATGTTATCCATGTGAGAATGCATTCAACGCAGAAGAATAAGAAGACAAGGTGATGAGAGAAATGTGGAGCAAATTTTTTATAATTATTTTAAATGTTATATAACCAAGGGAATTTGTAAAGAGAAATGAGGAATAGAGGAAGACAATAGAAATTAGTCCCTAAAAACTTGTCATTTTCTTCTTTGTTAATCACCTATTTATAGGCTTACAAATATAGGAAGCTAACCCACAAATTATGAATTAAAGGCTACTAATTACATAGGTTACAATATATCAAAAGGTGGAGGTAATGGATGTAATGGTGGTCATTCACATTCTATATATTTATAACATTAAACTATTTGTAAACCATTATTATATTAATTTTAAATTATAAGGGGACCAGGAGTTCTCACACACATACTAACAAGATGTTGCGGGAATTCATGCCATTTTTCATTGGGTTAGACCCCTATTACTTTTTCTTTTCTCTATTGGATTTAACATAAATAAGGGCATAAGTGGAAGTTTATGAAAGTGATTCATAATGGTAAGTTCTCTTAAGTAATAATATAGATATTGAGTGAACAAAGAGGTATTAAAAATGGTCTCGCTCTTTTCTTCTTCTTTTCTTTAATTATTTATTTTAACATAATCGATTTTTGTGATACTTAGAGTTTTTTAAAATATCACTTCCTACCAACGAGGTCTAACTCAGTGGAAAACGACATTAACTTGCAGACAAAAGGTCTCAGGTTTGAACCGTCATGACATCTTAGTTGTATTTGTGTGAAAAACCCCCATCCTATCACATTAATAATTATATGGTTTTATATTTATGTCGTCCATATATGGAGTAATGTTCTCTTATCATATATTTGGCATGTTATGGTACATACGAGGACAACATAATTAAAAATTACTTAACCTAATTAATGAATTTTATTAATAGTAAGCATCATAAAATTGCCAAATTATAGACAACAGTAACATATT